TTTGACTGTTTAATGCCACTCAGCGGGTGTTGCATGCATCAGTCCAAAAGAAGTTAAATAAAAAGCGCCCATCCATAAAAAATTATCTCACACGGCTCCGGGGGGTGAACAAAGGCCTCTTTTTATTTAACTTCTTTTGGACTAATGCATGCAACACCCGCTGAGTATTTCTACTAGAAAACAAATCAAGAATACTAAGGAAGATATTCTTTTTTTGCTGTGCATGCAGCATTTATGAATCTAAGACTTTCTGCTCCAATTTTAGACCTTTTTTTAGGCCTCAGGTTGTGTAAGAGCGAATTAAGACATTTTTAAGACCTGCAGAAACCCTGTACATGTAATTTAAGTGTGTCTATACTGTAACCGTGTCACTTTTTTACTCGCGAACGCATTTGTAAACTAGAAGACCCCTGGAACGGAGGGGTTTGTAATGGTGCTTCTTATAATGACCAACTACTTGTAAACGGTGTTTCTGTGACTCGATCCATATGCACTGAGGTCTGACGGCCACACACACCTCCACACACACACCTGTGGCCTCCGGCAATGAGAACGCCACCTCTGCCGTCTGTACGACCACGTTCTGTTCTGTCTTCACACTCGTGAGGGGTTTAGTTGTACATTCACAATAAAAACATATTTTTGGTTGTACGGACGACTCGAGCGCTGGCCTTCTTTCAGAGCGGCCTGTGAACTCCATCAGGTCTCAGAATCACTCAGGTCTCGCTCGGTTCCTCAGAAAAACGATGATTCGAAATGGACAACATTGACATCGTACCAGAATACTGCTGTTTTACAGTACTGTGGTATTCTTTAACCCTGTAAAGCCTGACATATGAAATAATAGTCCAAAAATCCAATCCTTTTTAAAAATGGAACAGTTGATTGAAGCTTTAGACGAAATATATTACACGAAAGACTAAAGTTTGCATACGTTTTTTGTTGAGTATCATGTTTGATCCATCAGGCTTTTATGGCTCATATAGTCTGATACAGTGAGAATATGGAGGAAAAAGCAGCTCAGTTTTATTCAGAGACTCAAATTAAGCAAAAATATGCAATTTGGTGCAAATGCTGATATTTATATGAAATTCTGCTGCTTGTGATGTAAATCACAGACATCTTTATAACAGTACAGCAGATACTGACATAAAATGATCTAAATATCAGTCGTGGCTCTATATCTGCAGTAATCTGTCTCAGTAAGATGAGATTGAAATGCTCCAAACATATAATGCAGTGATTGAGAGCTGAAGAAATAAAGGCTCCTCAGAAGATGTGAGATGTTCTGGAGGCTTGTGAAGATCATTCCTCCGCTGAGGAACAGTGAAAGTAAAGCTTCTGGAAACAAACGCTCCTCAAAAGATCCTGAGGATCAGATTTGAGACTCTAAAACATGATTGATGGAGAATCAAGTAAAGCTGAGCTGCTTCAGTCCAGTAAGTGTTCATCTGGAGATATTACTGCAGTTATTCTGACGCTTACTTGATCAAAATCAGTCAAGATTTGACACGAGAAGCTCCAGCTGAAGCTGGACGTTTGTACAGTTACAGTAAAAGAGCTTTGAGTGGATAAAAAAAAAAGAACAGCAAAGAAAGTCATGATCAATTAAAGCTGCAAGCAGCGTTGAAAGGGCCCTCGCACCCGGTGGCTTTAGGAAAACAGTGAATGGTGGGCAAAATGCATTTAAAGTGTTAAATACAGGAGGAATATATCAGTCATTTATATTTGGCAAACTTCCTGCTGCCAGCTGGTGGCGCTATGACTATAACTGAATATTGGCATGTAGA